CTCTTTCCCCTCGACTGCCTTGTACTCTAACCCAAAGCACTTCAGAGTGCCCCTTCTCCAACTCCTTGCTAATTGACGAGGATGTGTATTCCTCCTTAATATAGAGTGCCACGCCCCCACCTTTCCCTCCTATCCTGTACAGCCTACAGCCCTTGACATTCACCGCCCAGTCATGTGTTGAGTCCCACCACGTTTCCGTGATCCCCACTATGTCCGGGCTGGTGTCAGCTAGCAGGAGGGTGAGTTCCTCCTGCTTGTTTCCCATACTACGAGCATTTGTGTAGAGGCACTTGAGGCCTCCTGCGGATGTGTGTACTGACCCCCTAGTCCCGGCGTTGCCCTGGCCCCTATCGCTTACCTGTTCATTCATTTCGCTCGTTGGGCTGGGCTGGGCTGTAGTTGTGGGTGTTGTTTGGTCTGGCAGTCTGATGTTTCCTCCGCCCTCATCTTCCCCTAGTATTTTGGTATTTCTAAACAAATTTTGAAAAAAGTTCCTAAGTGGATTTTTTAAAACAAATCATTAACTTCTTTCCTTTTCTTTCTATTTTTATTTTTTTTTTTTAATTTTATTTTTTTTTTTTTACCCGGTTTTGGTAAATACATTTAGGGATTGAGAGACAAAAAGCAGTGTACCTGAAGTAAATGCAGGAGTGAATATGCAAGTGAAGTAGGTTCTGAATGACCATGAGAAATTGAGATTCAAGACATGGAAGCTGGGCATCACTGCAGGGACCTATCCCTCCCCTCCTCGCTTTGCCTTCCCCGGGTGTCTCATTTTATCCAGGAGCCGCGCTGGTCTCCGATCCCATGCCAGGCTTGTAGATAAGAAGTAAAAGCCACCGAGTGGAGTTAGTACCTGAAGGTGGGCTTGAGTGTTTGAGAAGCGGCTGTTGCCCAGCACTGCTTCTCTTCAGTTGAGCATCCCTGGCTGTGTGCATGGCCTCAGTCCTCTGCTGCTGATCTGCTTTTCCTTTGGACAGAGGAGGAGATGCTTTAGCAACCAATATGAACAATGCTTTTAACTGGCATTAATCTTTGTCTCAGGGACTAGATCCTCTCCATGACATTCTCGCTAGTCACTGACTTCAAGCCTAGAACCTAAAAGTCCATTTTGAAATCAAGATCTTCCACTGGCAGTGCACCAGGTGTGCATGTGGGAGACTGAAATACAGACTGCATTGGTTTTCATAATTGGAAACCTTACTGGCTACCTTCCTGGGGCAATCATTGAGGATGCTGCAGCATCAAATTCAGTGAGAAGGCTAGGATGACACTAGCAAGGGGTGGGCTGAAATGAATTCTGCAGAAGCCCTGGGAATGACTCGACACTCTGAGCATTCAAAACATAATAGAAGTATAATGTAGCCATTAAGGCAGGCATATTGGTGAAATTAATGGAAAGGCTTCATTCTCAGCTGATGTAGACGAGAGTAGCTCAGTTACACTCCATACCATTTCACATCTGGCCCTTAGTTCCAGGAAAAAAATGGGTTAAATACTGTTCTCTAAGCAATGCCACACTCAGTATTGTTTTCAGGTTCTTCAAGAATAAATAGGACAATCACAAGCCATTGACTATTTTATGTGCAGCTGTCGTGGGGCCAAGAAAGAGCAGCAGTGAAGTGACCCAGCTAAATTTCCATGATCACTCCTCTTCTTGATGGACTCCACCCTCTCTTTGGAGCCATCTTTTTTTCTTTTTCTTTTTTTCCCCCAACTGTATTTCTTAAGGCCATCCTCTATAATGCTCCTGATCTTCCTGCTCTTGTGACTTCTGCGTTAGATTATAGTGCTATGATTCAAGCCTGTGTTCAACATAGTAAAAAAGCTCATCTGTATGCATAATACAGAAAAGGTACATTGTTCCAAATCAAGGCTGCAAAGGTGATTGAGCCAGCATAAATCTATCATACAGATAAATAGGTTCGAACAAGGAGAAAACGGTGTGCTGTAATTGTCTACTGTTGCATGGAAAGAGACTGAACAAACAGCAGATTACCTGGAATTTATAAACAGTTATTCCAGTAATACAAGAAGAAAGATCAAACACATTGTGCTATTTTGAGGGCATATGAAGTGTTGTATGGTATAATGTTTGGAACAGGGAACTGTGATTGAAGACTCTAAAGTTCTCTTTCTTGTTCTAACATAGACTTGCCGTGTGACCTTGTGCAAAACACTTAAGCCCCAATTCATCATTTCCCTGCACTGTACACAGGTAGCTAGAACTGCACGCAATAGTCTAAAAGTGCATGGTAAAATGCTACCAGATGAGAGTAGCGGCACATTAGGCACATTTTGATTATTGCCTTCAACACTATGTCATCATTTAGATTAGGGCAACGGGGCCCTGAGCCTCAAATTTTGTATACCGCTATTTTTATGCCCAATTTAAAGCACTTCATACTTTATTGCTCAGAGGTGATGAGGTCTGGTAAGGTCTACATGACTGCATTTGGGTCTGTAAGTGCTCATTACCGCCTGGAAAAAATCATGGTCCTAAGTGTCAAAGTGGGGAAACCAAAAATGGAAGCACCCAAAGCTTGAAGCCACCTTTCAGGCTTACTCCTACACTCTCCATATCCCTATGCAAAATGGGCAGACCAACACTTGCCTCAGAGGGATTTTGTTAAGATTCACTCAGGAATGCTTGAAAAGCATTTGATTTCATTAGATTACCCTTAATTTGAAGACAGTAATAGGAAAGACTATAAAAGCAGCAAGAACTATGACCACGAAACGCACTTGCATTGTCTCAACTTGATGGAATTGGCCCAAGCTCAGCATTTTTTCCAATTTTTTAAGAATTGAAAAGGGATTTATATTCATGCCCCTCCCTACTGGAAAACTCGTTTGTGAAGGAAGAAAATGACGTTCTGAATTTTTATTTGGATGATTACGTTAGACCTTAAAACAGAAGTTTACACATCTTAATAGGAAATGGGGAAAAAAATCTATTTTTCCTCTAAATTCTTCATAAAGCAACATATTGTGGAATTAGACATGACTGTTCCTTTCTGTGCAGTTTCACAGAGAAATATTTGCTATTCTGGCACAGCCATGGTGACTATTAGTTTTTTCTCTACTGGAAATCCAGCAAAGTCCTGATTTTGATGGATTTGCAGGGATTAGATCTGGTTACTGATTTGTTTACTCTGCACTTAAGGGAATATTAAATACCTGTATCCTGAAATGTTTCCCTTCTCTGCCTTGCCTAATAAACAGTCCTGAATTGCATCCTAATACCATGTCAGTTACTACAGAAAAGACTCTTGCTATTTGCAATAAGTGTGAGAGTTCATCTAATTAGCTGATTTCAGTTCATTTGGCATTAAATAATTCCCAGAATTCCCATATGTTTGTACAATATGTTCAACAGGGGGACTGATTCTCTGAAAGCAATTAAATAGCTCCTTTCCGAAGAGCTCGTCATTGGTCATTCACACACGTCCCTGCTATTCCTCTCCACAACGTATGCAGGCAGTAATTACACTGAGTCAGAGTGACCATGGAGAGCTGCCAGTAGCCATTATAGAGGCTATGCCATTTCTGAGATTGTGACTTGTTGTTAACATTTTCCGGGGTTTTTTGTTGGTTTGTTTTATGCGAGGATCAAATTGTCCCAGTCTATTTCACATCACCCTCCAGGGTGGCTAATAGGATGGCTAATAGGACTTCTTCCCTTCAAACTGGTGTGTGTGCGCATGCAAGTGTATATGTGGTATTAAGTTTTCTTGTGGATGCTTGAAAAGCTTGAATTAGTTTTTACTGAGAATCATCACCAGTAGCATGACTAAGCCCCTGGATTCACAGCCCCTGAGGGTAAATGCAGTGTTGTTTTCAGCTTAACCTATATTTTGCTCCCACTATGGGAGATGAATTGTCAAACTTTGTGCTGGAGGTAACTTTGGCAAACTTTTCCCCCTGTATTTTGTGCACTTGTCAGCAGTATCAATTTGGCGTGGGAAGCGGTAGTTGAAGGACGTGTGCCTGTTGTGAGTGAGATAGGATAGAGATGCACCCACCACGTTAAATAACTGGGGTTTGACTCATTCTCTGGAAATATGCTATTGTTATCCCTTCCAGCAGCAGCATCAAAACAGAGATAAGGAGATAGAACGCATCAGTCATTGCAGAGGTACAGCAGAAAGTATGCCGAATTAAATAACTTAGCCAAAAATGAATATGTAAAGAGTTAGCTTGAAGGCTTTCAATACTTCTGAGACCTATTGCTCTGTATTTTAAGTAACCTGGTGGATCATTTCGAAAGCACTTTATAAACAAAGTTTTGTGCTGTAGGAAGAGGTTTTGGCAGCAACCTTTCGGAGGCTGTTTTTAGTTAACAAAAATCAAATGCAAGTTGAAAACAGCAGTGTTACTTGTTTTTGGCACTACTGTTGTTATTGCAGAAACTTTTTTTTTTCCTAGTAACAGTTTAGTTGCAAAGCACTCATGGCTCCTGAAAAAAAACGATATTCACAAGCATATGCCAAGTAGTTTGAATGAATATATTTTCAGACTACAAGTTGTTTCAGAACTGTTCATTTGAAGTATTAATGGTGGCCCTAACTCAGCAGAACACTTAAGCAGGTGCTCATCTTTGAGCACAGTAAGATTGCCAACATGCTTATTGTTAAGCTTGGGCTTAAATGGCAAGAATGCCATTTAAATAGAAGAATAGAATAGAATATATGATGAATCATGCATTTCTGGTTTGCTGTTTCTAGCAGAACAAATATGTATGCATGTATGATCTTTGGGGACTTGTGAACAATGAATACTTTGACTGCTGTAAAAAAGTAGAGAAGAATTAGCCCGTTTATTTCTAAATATGTTTTTTCCATTCAAGCCTCAAACGATTAACACTATGCTTGCATATTATGTTTCCACATGAATAGTTTTATTGGGACATCCCTTAGACTGTAAGCTTTTGGGAGCAGACACAGCGTTTGGGTCTCTATTTGGACGACATTTAAAACAACAGAGTCCTAGCTCCAGACTGGAGCTCTTACGTGCTACAAAAATACAAATAATAATAATCACAAGTGAGGTTGTTTGTGCTAAGGTATTTGCAGGAGGAGAGCCTAACTGACTGGAAGGACGGGTACCTGGCATGCCCTGCACACACATACCTGAGATGGCTTTAAACTAGCAAGCTCAGTTACTGATAGAAGTGTGGCTGGTGTGGCATGGCTCAGCATGGGCCGAGTGCTTGAGTATTTCTATTTATCCAGCTTCTCAAGTGTTTTTTGCAGCCTGTACTACCTACTGCACAGCGACGACTGTGCTGCACTCAGTACACCAGCTAGCAAGTTTAATGCTGTCTCAAATATATCTACGTAAGCTGCAGTCAGTCACCATGCTGGCAGGGCCACATTTCCTCCTGACTTGGTGGTGTTACACAGATGTGTCTTATATTTTGAGAGCAGAATACCAATTAGTAGTTGTAGCGTTCACATTAGTAAGCCATACATTTGGGACACAAGCCAAGATGAAGGATACAAGTTAAATAAATCACCTTTTCTCTCGCTTGCCTGTCATTGCTCAGCATATGTGTTTTTAAATAAGTGTTATTTATTAATGAATCCAGCTTACCCAGTAACAAATTTAACATTTAAAGACACATACAATCCCTTAAGGTATACATGAAGACAGGTGCTTATCTTCCATCAGCAGTGCTCTCTTAACCCAAGTAATGTCCACAGAGGAGTCTTGTAGTCGTTTCTTCCCCCCTTCTTTTCCATTCAAATCTCTGACAGCTCCTTTACATGTCAGTCAGCGTTTAGCTATTGTGTTTCTTCATTTCTATATGTAACCTTCCTAATAATTCACCCCCTCTTTTTTTGTCAGAACTATGTTCTATGTGTTTTATTAAGGAGAGTAAGAAAAAAAAAAAAGGTTTGTGTGGGACGGAGTTAAATTTAGCTCTGAATAAGGGAGGAAAGAATAGAGATTCGTATCAGATACTGTGCATTTTCAGCTTAATGCCTGCTGTCTATTACTTATCTATTTTGTTCAACTGGAAGAATTAAAGTATGTTTTCAAATGAGGGAAATCAGACGCAATCTGGGGAAATTTGGGAGAGGCTGTATTTTTACACGATTATTTGGCTCATCTTTACTATTATGAAAAGGTTGTTGATGACATTCTTTAAAGAAAAGAATTGCGTGGCAATATTACCAGCTGGTGAATTAAGCAAGGCTTCCTTTCACAGTAACATTAAAGTTGCATTTTGATTTATTCAAAGAGAAATATACATCAGGGAACAAGATCGCGAACTGACCGGTGAAGGGTTGATTAGCTTGGGCTCAAGAAGTTTCTTTCATAGCTATCTTCTGATTCTGTATTGAAATGACTACAACTGCTGACCTTCCTGTTTCCCCACGTCAGTGATGTATAAGATGCTTAGATTTTGTCTTCAAATCTCTTAAATATGGGTATAGAAATTTTCTTTATATGCAAATCAGTTTTACGACCTTGATTTTAAAAGAAAATCACAAAAACTTTAACTTCCTTGTTATATTTACTCAAAGATTGATCTGTCTTTTCAATATTTATTGAAGCCTCCAGCCAGAAGGCACAGAAGTTCTTCTTGGTCCAGAAGTAACTTGTGGCCCTCCAGATGTGACTGTCACCACTCCTTTTGCCTTGACTATACCACACTGTGCAGAAGTAAATTCTGAACACTGGACCATTCACTTGAAAAAAAGAATACAACAAGGGAAATGGGAGGTAAGTTAAAACCATCCCTCCCTCCCTGAGGAGACCATACTGCCAGCAAAATCATAAGATGCAACTATCTAGGCTAAAATTAGGGCTGGTCAGAAATACCAGGGATGGTAAAATTCACAGCGCTAAAGGAATTCACCTTTCCCCCATCAAAATGCAAAACTGATGAACAAAATGAGAAGAGGAAATTCATGCCAATGAAAGCCTTACCGGGAAGATGGCATCAAAGTAAGAGGGTACTCTTTTTCCTCTGACTGTTCTTATGTGCTGCAGTTCTAACTCTGTAGCGGTCACGTAACAGGAGTTTTTATCACTTGATTACTGTGGCTTTTGTTATAGAAACTATTGAGAAATCTCCAGTCTTAACTGATCCTGACCAATCTGGCAAAAAATTATGCTGCAAAAAAGGTCAGGCATTATGTAAAAATCCATACTTGGCTTTTAATATGTTTTACCTAAATTTTTTCTAGAGTGCTCCTGATTTGCTAATATCATCTTTTTTTCATCATTTTTAATTTTACTGCCCATTGATCACCTTGTGCCAGTAATCTCTACAGGACTACCACATGCCGCATAATATATTTACCAATTGTAAATCATAATTTACTATTATGTTGTGTTTTTCCTATTCGCTTGCTCTGACAGAGAATGCTGGAATGATACCATGCATGATATTTTTAATCATCTCTCTGCCTGCCCAAGCTACTTCTCTTACTTGTTTTCCTTCTCTGAACTATTTCAAGTTCATCATAGTCCTCTTACTCTAGATGCTCTCACTTCTGAGTCAGTTGTCTCAATGCTGGTTGCAAATAGCCAAGGACTAGTAAGGTAGAATGAAATATTACCATGAAAATTCCTCAGATCATTTATCTAATGACACTACAGCGCAGCAAAACTATATGTGGAAGACACAAGATTATTTTTTTTGGATAAGAATAAACATTATCGTGATGGATACTGTAAGAGGATGTCAGATGCGGGCTGCTGTTCAAGGTTTCTGTATTGACTTTGAACTTCACAGTAATTTCTTAACTTGACATTGGGAAAAATTAGCTATAAAGTCAAGAACGCTTGAAAAGGTGCTAAAATTGCTTATGCGTCATTATTATTACATTGAATTCGGTACAATATATCACCATAAGCACTGTTGCTGACTCAGGGCTACATGGTGAGTACTCACTCACGTAAGTAGTTCCACTCAAGTCAACATGAGTAAAGGCTCGCAGTCGAGCTGCGAATGTACTAAGAGTACACAGTGAACTGGGGAAAAAAAAATACATCAACTGAAACGTCATGCCTTCTGCTCAGAAAAGCTTGCTGATTTTTAAATGTGATTTTTTCATTGCATAGGAAGTGATGTCCGTGGAAGAGGAAACGACTTCTTGCTACTGTCTGTTGGATCCTTATGCCTGCCACATTCTCTTAAACAGCTTTGGAACTTATGCTCTTGTTGGAGAGCCCGTCTCCGACTGTGCTGTTAAACAGCTGAAAGTAGCAGTCTTCGGCTGCCTGTCTTGCAATTCGCTGGATTACAACTTGCGAGTGTATTGTGTGGATAACACTCCTTGTGCATTTCAGGTAAAGGATTCTGATTTGTGAATTATCTGTTCCTTTCCATAAAAACACAGCCACTCTCTATGTATGGCTAGACCAGCACTGGACTAAAACTCAAAAGACAACAGGATGTGCAAGTCACCAGTGCCATGGTGTGTTAATTTGGGAAAGTTACACCGTCTCTCTATATACCTCTCTTTCCAATCCTACTCTTTCTCTGTCTTGTATATTTAGATGGTAAATGCTTTGCAGCAAAGACCATCTCGATAGGGATTTGTACAGTACTGGGTCAAAAAGGGTATCGTTGTGACAGAAATAACTGATATTTTACTATCGTTTGTTATAAACTATGTATGGGGTTCATTAACTTGAATATCGCGTTTCCTTTATTAAATCACAACAGGATAGGTAGGTGGTCCCCTCCCTTTCTATATGAGTCAGACAGTAAGTGTTCAAATACAATTTTGTAAAACTCAAGTGGAACCCTGTGGCATTTAATCAAAATTAGTATGATTTTTAAAATGGTGTTTCTGTAAAAATTAGACTCTGCAGCTGTTGCAAACTCTAAAGCTTTAATAAAATGCTTTTCTTTGGGGACTAGAGATGAAGACAGTAGTGACAGCTGATATTTTCCCCCTGTTCCAATTTTGCATCACAGAAACATGACTCTCGTAGCAAAGAATATTTTAATAGCTGTATGCTTTTAATAAAAGAAAAGCCCCCTACAGTGGAAACTAGAGAACTATAGCAGCTCTGTGCTTGCTTTCTATATCACTCTATGGCACATATAACTTATGTGTGCGGCAGTATTTAAGTTAGTAAGTCTGTATAAAATTGTAAGAACTAAATTCTGGCCTCAGATAAGTGTGTGTGTGCGCGCGCGCGCACACACACACACACACACAGAAAAATGCAAACTCAAAATTGGTGTTGGGTCAAAAATGCTTTTATACTTGTATCAAATAATTATTTATAATAGTACTGTAATACTAAAATTCTTCAACATGCTTTAATTTAAGCAAGACAAAAATCCTGAAACCTGTGAAAAGCTGTGAAAATGGCCCACATAAGCAGGCTGGGTTTTTATTCCTCAGAGTCTCCCAATTCTAGTTTGTCAGGCTGCCTATTACCATGTATTATTCTTAATGAATGATTCACCCAGCCTGTATTTTACCTTCAATATATATTGAAGATGATGGGGGGGAAGAAGCTTAATGTATTTGTATCACTCTGGTTCCCAACTTACTGATGTATTTAGCAAACAAAGGAGACTAGGCGTTTTTTCTTAACGTAAGTGAAAATAAATACGACATTTCTAATTTAGCAATTTTTAAAGAAAAAATAGTCCAAGA